CACCAGTATGGGGTGGGATACCGTATCGAAGGCCTTCCTGAAGTCTAAGTATACGACTTCCACCCCTACTCCTGTGTCCAGGCGTTTTGTAACCTGGTCATAAAAAGAAACTAGATTGGTCAGGCACGATCTGCCTGCCACAAACCCGTGCTGGTTTCCCCTCAGCATAATTTGTCCTGCCGGGCTCTCACAAATGTGAGCCTTGATAATTTTTTCAAAGACTTTGCCAAGGATGGAGGTGAGACTGACTGGCCTATAGTTGCCCGGGTCCCCCTTCCTCCCCTTTTTGAAAATGGGGACCACGTTGGCCCTTTTCCAGTCCTCCGGGACTTGGCCCGTGCACCACGAGCTTTCAAATATTCCCGCCAGTGGCTCTGCAATGATGTCGGCCAGTGCCTTCAGCACCCTCGGATGGAGCTCATCCGGGCCTGGATTTCATCACATTCAGGATTTGGCCCGTTATAAGTAACAAACATAATGGCCAGAAGTGTACTCCACTACTAGGTGCCCTTACCTGGAGTACCGAGAAATTAAGACATATGTATCTAGAGTGAAACTCTAGACAGGTCGTCAAAATTAGAGGCCACTTTCAAAAACCATGGACCAAGGAATTCAAGTGGTTCAACACTTCACCCAACAAGATCCACAAAGAGAATTAGATGCGGCAACATCCATCGTTATGACAACTGATTTTTAGGTACTTCCCACTTTATGGAACGTGCAGCTCTGAGTCAGCACGAGCAAGAGTTCTGGTTCTGGGACTCAAACAGCTACACGGGCCGTCTGGCTGGACTTGCCTATTCAAACCCATGACTATTAAATTCATCCAGCTCCACAGGCTGCATGAGGAGCTAGGCTCCAGTCTGTGGGCCCAGCCCAGCCAGTGGCTTGGCCTTGTGCCCCTTATCTGGCCCATGAATCCCATGTGCATAGTTGGGTTGTGTAGGTGCCACACACAGCATGTACCCAGGACCAGCTACACATGGGGGCCACTGCATGCTGCATGTGGTGCGTGGGGCCAGTCCGAGACCCATAAGCAGCACCACAGACTGGATCATAGGGCTCCCTGGGCCATATTTTGACACCTAGCACAATTCCAGTTTGTTCAAAATCTAAATGTTTTCTTCTCTCCCAGCTGAATTAGGAGGTTCTGAAAATGGCTGTAAAATACATGCAGCATGGGCAACAAAGCAAAGGCAAAATTTTCAAGGCATTCATTTTTTTATCAAGTAATTCTGCTCTAGTCATCTATGCAGATTAACACACGGGCCAGCTGGGCCCAGGTCCAGGGGCCCCAGACAAATGAGGGCATGGGGGGAAGGGGAGGCAGCTCAGCATGGACAAAACCAGCGGCCAGGCAGGGCCAAGCATGCATGACGTGGTGGGCCTTCGCTGCTGGGTATCAGGCAGGGCACAGGGTACAACCATGCCAGATTCCTGGGAGAAGCTGAAGCCACCAGTGGCAGGGAGCGGAGCCAGGCACAGTGCATGGCTGGGACCTACTGGTGGCGGGATAGCCCCTGTGCAGCCAGGTCCCAGACAGGCCTGGCCACGATTCTGTGCATTTGCCAGGCAACACTGCAGCTAGACTGAGCCACAGCGGGGTGAGGAACTGCACCTAGAGCTCAGCCCATGCTGCACATGCCCAGCGGACAGCGGGTCCACACCCCCAGCTCCACCCAGTCACAGCACTGTGTTGTGTGGGGTCCTGTGCGACCAGACCCGGGCTCCGGCTCCAGCTCCAGCAAAAACCTGTGGGCATGGTCAGCTGTGGCTCCTGCCCCAGGACTG